AGAAAGCTGCAGGCAGGTGAGAATCATCAGGGTTGGAGTTACCTAGACCTCCTTGGATCTTTAAAAACGCGTTTTTTTCAAGAAGATCTTTAAAACCCCACTTTTTTTTTTACAGCGTTTGTTGTGGGATTCAGCAGATATTTTGATGCAGCGGCACGGTTTTTCATTGTAGTTTGTGTTTCTCCCTGCCTGCCCCTCCTGACTCACTAATTCAGCCCATCTTCTAGCAGACGTGATTGTGAGATCGCAGGTCGTTAGGATGACAGCTCGAGTGTACTGCTCATTTAGTGCTGTTTTATTGTGTCTGTCTGCATGTTTGAGCACAACAGACGCTGGAGTCGTAGGTGAGAAGATCTTTTAGTTTATTACACAGCCCGAAGAACGTGCCTTACAAAATATGACTTGGACCCATCTCAGCACATTGGTTTACAAAAGTACAGTACAGACGTCCAGTGGAAGTTTAACTTTGTACGGTGGTTTAGTTTCAATAATAAGCAAGGTATAAATATGCAAAACTGTCATAAGTTTATGCATATTTATTTCATTGTACAAGTAAAACCCATCCAATCTCTAATGTATAGTATTTTTGTTTGCTGTAAATCAAGAACATGCTATATGCTTACGCAGTTGTTACCACATAGACATCAATCCTGAATTTAAACTTCTGCTTCATGTATTGTTTTCCCTATTTTAACAACTATTTATGCCTTCAATAGCCTATAACACGGGGAGCTATAACTTTTGTGTTGTGTAGCCTATTAAAATGCTTGGAATGAGGGATGGCATAACAATTTTTGAAGTACACTTAGTTACAACAACCTATTTACTGATGTGCATCATGTTTTCTATCAGCATTGTACTATTACTCGCCCTACTATAGGTTGTAACGGCACTCTCAGTCTTTGAAACTAATTGATGCAGTTTAGTGATAAATGGTAGATGTCTAAGCTACTTTGATTTGAAGCTGATAAATGTGAATATTATTAAAGTTTGAGGCACATATTGCAAAACCCCTGTTCTGCAAATGCTGAAACAAGCTATTAAAGCACTTCCTGGTTTCCCCTAACTATCCTCTTGAATCCTCTTCTGTAGTGTCCGGTCAGTGTCCGGCGAAGCTGACCGTCGTGCCGTCCCGTCGAGGATGTCTTTGTGATCGAGACTGCTCTGGAGGACACAAATGCTGTCAATTTCCCTGTGGGGCTGTGTGCGTGCCGCCTGTTTTCAGTGAGTTTAATGATGGATGCTATAGATCTTCACTGAAAAAAATGGTGTATAAACAAGTTTTCACTCAGAAATTGCAAGTACATTTCACAATTGCAAAGAAACCGCAAGTAACACATTGAACTAAACATGAAACTACCAAGTAGAAAGACTGAATATTCCTGTAAAAACTACTCCGATCATCTTTGACAACTTTATTTTTTAAGCGGTGAATGAGACATTCAGTATTCAGTGATGTGGTTTCTCTGTCATGTGTCTGTATAACAGCAAAGCCAGGGGAGTGTCCAAGCACAAAGTCTGGAGCAGGAATGTGTGCCGAGTTGTGTTACTATGACAGTGACTGTCCGAACAATGAGAAATGCTGCAGCAATGGATGTGGACATCAGTGTATGGCTCCATATATAGGTATTTGATATGTTATTATATTAGTGTTTGGGTCGGCTTTCTCGTGATTTCAGTTTGTCTTGTTTGATTTAATTACTTTACCGTTCTCTGTGTCAAAAGTATTCAGCTGAACAAGCACCGGATGGCTTTACAATACTAATAGATTACGATTAATACTTAAAATAAGAAACTTGCAATTTGTGTTTTATGCTCTAAATCTGAGACTGGATTCCGCTAAACGGACTGACTAAAGCGGATTATCTGTATCCATGCAGTGAAGGCTACAGCCGAACCACCGACGCCTCCAGCCGAGCTGCCGAATCCTCCAGTGACGCCTGCAGCCGAACTGCCGAATCCTCCAGTGACGCCTGCAGCCGAACTGCCGAATCCTCCAGTGACGCCTGCAGCCGAACCGCTGACTCCTGCAGCTGAACTGCCGAATCCTCCAGTGACTCCTGCAGCCGAACTGCCCAAGCCTCCAGTGAAGCCTGCGTCTGAACCGCCCAAGCCTCCAGTGAAGCCTGGGTCTGATCCGTCCAAGCCTCCAGTGAAGCCTGCGTCCGAACAGCCCAAGCCTCCAGTGAAGCCTGCCGGCGGACAGCCCAAGCCTCCATTGAAGCCTGCCGGCGAACAGCCCAAGCCTCCAGTGAAGCCTGCCGGCGAACCGCCCAAGTCTCCCGTGAAGCCTGCCGGCGAACAGCCCAAGCCTCCAGTGAAGCCTGCCGGCGAACAGCCCAAACCTCCCGTGAAGCCTGCCAGCGAACAGCCCAAGCCTCCAGTGAAGCCTGCGTCCGAACAGCCCAAGCCTCCAGTGAAGCCTGCGTCCGAACAGCCCAAGCCTCCAGTGAAGCCTGCGTCCGAACAGCCCAAGCCTCCAGTGAAGCCGGCGTCCGAACAGCCCAAGCCTCCAGTGAAGCCGGCGTCCGAACAGCCCAAGCCTCCAGTGAAGCCTGCGTCCGAACAGCCCAAGCCTCCAGTGAAGCCGGCGTCCGAACAGCCCAAGCCTCCAGTGAAGCCGGCGTCCGAACAGCCCAAGCCTCCAGTGAAGCCGGCGTCCGAACAGCCCAAGCCTCCAGTGAAGCCAGCGTCCGAACAGCCCAAGCCTCCAGTGAAGCCTGCAGTGTGTGCTGAAAACTGTCACCAAACTCGCCCTGATGGCAAATGTTCTGGCCATATGGGGGGGTCCTCATCACCTTATGGGGGGTCTTAGAGAATGTGGCCATGCATAAAGTTAAGTGTGCTGATTTAACCATTGAATGTATGGGATGTCTTCCCTGTTTATCACCAAATAAATCTCACACTTTGGTAAGACTTCTTTCTTTGTTTCTGTGGAAAAACAAAGAAAATTGCTTGATTGTAGAGTTGGTGTTTTTGGTATGCCAGTGTTCATTTGGCTGTTCTCACATAATGGTTCATTGGCATTAGTGCTTTAGGAAAGTAAAAAATCACCTCACCAAGACCCAAACACGTGCAAGAGGTCTTGTAACGAAAGACCTCTGTTTTCATCTTCACACAAAATGGGCCCCTCTCATTAATGGAGTTAAGCACTTGAGTTACATTAAATCTTTGTTAAATTCATACATATTTTTAACTTCTGGACAATCTCACAGCAATTCGTAACTATTTTACGTTTTGCTTAAAGGTAGGGTAGGCAATTGCGGAGAGGCTAGCAATGGCAGGCTAGCTTTGAAAGCGTGAGATCCCACCCCCTCTTCAGAGTGTTTCCAAAGCCACACCTCCTTCAAAACACATGAACTCACACAGCAGAGTCTGCAAAGCGCCACGAGATGAGAGTTCTAAACCAGTTCTAACGCAATGGCAAAAGTTCGAGCAAAGCACTCACACCGTTCTGTCGTTGGCTGCACAGAGCACTATTTGACCAAAAAATGTCACAGCTGTCTTATAAAGAGCTCGGGGAACTGTCAACTTGTGTAAAAGTTAAACATGACGGCACATGCAAGTTGATGAGGTGAATCAATATAACTCCACAACAACTACATAACTGTATCCACTAACCATTCAGAAATGTCCAGGTTAAGTCTAAAAGTTGCAACCTCTTCCTGAGTCTCTCCGTAAGGCTGCCCTCCGCTACTTATTTCTGAAATTTGTCTGAAATTCGCGTGTTTTGTTATTGACGGAGTATCCGAAGCTGGGGAGCAGCAGCTCATTTGCATTTAAATGGACACACACACAAAAATAGTGCGTTTTTGCTCACACCCAAAAAGGGGCAACTTTGACAAGCTATAATAAATAATCTGGGTTGTATTTTGAGCTGTAATTTCACAGACACATTCTGAGGACACCATAGATATTACATCTTGTGAAAAGGGGCAAAATATGTCACCTTTAATTTACCTCATGTCTCAAAGCACATAACATGTAAGCAATAAGGTACGAGAGGCTGTGCTGTATCGTAAATAAGTCACGGCTAAAGGCAAGGGCGTAGATTTGGTTTGAACATTGGGGGGGTTAAAGTTTGGGTATGCCTCCTGATATTGTGATCATGGTATAAATAATGGGGGGGTTGTAATGCATAGATTTAAATATTGGGGGGGTTATATCCCCCCCATCCCCCCCACAAATTACGCCCCTGGCTAAAGGGTGTTGTTAGGCGCGAAGCGGAGTTACCACACGATGCAACAATTAAAGCCAAAAAAATATGTATCAATGCAACTTTCATGAAGTAAAATCACAAAGGCTTCCTTCAGCTGGAAAAAATAGTCCCTGAACAGCAACAGAAGTTACATTATTTCACCATTAGATGGTGGCAAAGACTGTCTTTATGAGTGAGTCAGTCAGTAGAGAAGACTTTTATATTGAAAGGACTGAAACTTGTGAACACGGAGAAGCAAGATGCAACTGGAAATTGACTAGTGTGTCAGGGCACTGGAAAACCCATTAACTGTTAAAAGGACAAGATATCGCAGTGGACATTCAAACGGATTTTTTTTTATTACGGTTAAAACTTGTGCTAGCCTACTACTCCGACTGGTACCACTTGATCGCTGTACCACCTGACCACTGCAGATTCTTTTGGCAAACGCTCAATCATCTCCTAATTACTTTAATTATTACGACATCCAATCCTAATCAAACACCTGAACAAGCTAATCAAGGTCTTCGAGATTAGGCTACTAGAAAGCTGCAGGCAGGTGAGAATCATCAGGGTTGGAGTTACCTAGACCTCCTTGGATCTTTAAAAACGCGTTTTTTTCAAGAAGATCTTTAAAACCCCACTTTTTTTTTTACAGCGTTTGTTGTGGGATTCAGCAGATATTTTGATGCAGCGGCACGGTTTTTCATTGTAGTTTGTGTTTCTCCCTGCCTGCCCCTCCTGACTCACTAATTCAGCCCATCTTCTAGCAGAGTTGATTGTGAGATCGCAGGTCGTGAGGATGACAGCTCGAGTGTACTGCTCATTTAGTGCTGTTTTATTGTGTCTGTCTGCATGTTTGAGCACAACAGACGCTGGAGTCGTAGGTGAGAAGATCTTTTAGTTTATTACACAGCCCGAAGAACGTGCCTTACAAAATATGACTTGGACCCATCTCAGCACATTGGTTTACAAAAGTACAGTACAGACGTCCAGTGGAAGTTTAACTTTGTACGGTGGTTTAGTTTCAATAATAAGCAAGGTATAAATATGCAAAACTGTCATAAGTTTATGCATATTTATTTCATTGTACAAGTAAAACCCATCCAATCTCTAATGTATAGTATTTTTGTTTGCTGTAAATCAAGAACATGCTATATGCTTACGCAGTTGTTACCACATAGACATCAATCCTGAATTTAAACTTCTGCTTCATGTTTTGTTTTCCCTATTTTAACAACTATTTATGCCTTCAATAGCCTATAACACGGGGAGCTATAACTTTTGTGTTGTGTAGCCTATTAAAATGCTTGGAATGAGGGATGGCATAACAATTTTTGAAGTACACTTAGTTACAACAACCTATTTACTGATGTGCATCATGTTTTCTATTAGCATTGTACTATTACTCGCCCTACTATAGGTTGTAACGGCACTCTCAGTCTTTGAAACTAATTGACGCAGTTTAGTGATAAATGGTAGATGTCTAAGCTACTTTGATTTGAAGCTGATAAATGTGAATATTATTAAAGTTTGAGGCACATATTGCAAAACCCCTGTTCTGCAAATGCTGAAACAAGCTATTAAAGCACTTCCTGGTCTCCCCTAACTATCCTCTTGAATCCTCTTCTGTAGTGTCCGGTCAGTGTCCGGCGAAGCTGACCGTCGTGCCGTCCCGTCGAGGATGTCTTTGTGATCGAGACTGCTCTGGAGGACACAAATGCTGTCAATTTCCCTGTGGGGCTGTGTGCGTGCCGCCTGTTTTCAGTGAGTTTAATGATGGATGCTATAGATCTTCACTGAAAAAAATGGTGTATAAACAAGTTTTCACTCAGAAATTGCACGTACATTTCACAATTTCAAAGAAACCGCAAGTAACACATTGAACTAAACATGAAACTACCAAGTAGAAAGACTGAATATTCCTGTAAAAACTACTCCGATCATCTTTGACAACTTTATTTTTTAAGCGGTGAATGAGACATTCAGTATTCAGTGATGTGGTTTCTCTGTCATGTGTCTGTATAACAGCAAAGCCAGGGGAGTGTCCAAGCACAAAGTCTGGAGCAGGAATGTGTGCCGAGTTGTGTTACTATGACAGTGACTGTCCGAACAATGAGAAATGCTGCAGCAATGGATGTGGACATCAGTGTATGGCTCCATATATAGGTATTTGATATGTTATTATATTAGTGTTTGGGTCGGCTTTCTCGTGATTTCAGTTTGTCTTGTTTGATTTAATTACTTTACCGTTCTCTGTGTCAAAAGTATTCAGCTGAACAAGCACCGGATGGCTTTACAATACTAATAGATTACGATTAATACTTAAAATAAGAAACTTGCAATTTGTGTTTTATGCTCTAAATCTGAGACTGGATTCCGCTAAACGGACTGACTAAAGCGGATTATCTGTATCCATGCAGTGAAGGCTACAGCCGAACCACCGACGCCTCCAGCCGAGCTGCCGAATCCTCCAGTGACGCCTCCAGCCGAACTGCCGAATCCTCCAGTGACGCCTGCAGCCGAACTGCCGAATCCTCCAGTGACGCCTGCAGCCGAACTGCCGAATCCTCCAGTGACGCCTGCAGCCGAACTGCCGAATCCTCCAGTGACGCCTGCAGCCGAACTGCCGCCGAATCCTCCAGTGACGCCTGCAGCCGAACCGCTGACTCCTGCAGCTGAACTGCCGAATCCTCCAGTGACTCCTGCAGCCGAACTGCCCAAGCCTCCAGTGAAGCCTGCCGGCGGACAGCCCAAGCCTCCATTGAAGCCTGCCGGCGAACAGCCCAAGCCTCCAGTGAAGCCTGCCGGCGAACCGCCCAAGTCTCCCGTGAAGCCTGCCGGCGAACAGCCCAAGCCTCCAGTGAAGCCTGCCGGCGAACAGCCCAAACCTCCCGTGAAGCCTGCCGGCGAACAGCCCAAGCCTCCAGTGAAGCCTGCCGGCGAACAGCCCAAGCCTCCAGTGAAGCCTGCGTCCGAACAGCCCAAGCCTCCAGTGAAGCCTGTGTCCGAACAGCCCAAGCCTCCAGTGAAGCCTGCGTCCGAACAGCCCAAGCCTCCAGTGAAGCCTGCGTCCGAACAGCCCAAGCCTCCAGTGAAGCCGGCGTCCGAGCAGCCCAAGCCTCCAGTGAAGCCGGCGTCCGAGCAGCCCAAGCCTCCAGTGAAGCCGGCGTCCGAGCAGCCCAAGCCTCCAGTGAAGCCGGCGTCCGAGCAGCCCAAGCCTCCAGTGAAGCCGGCGTCCGAGCAGCCCAAGCCTCCAGTGAAGCCGGCGTCCGAGCAGCCCAAGCCTCCAGTGAAGCCGGCGTCCGAACAGCCCAAGCCTCCAGTGAAGCCGGCGTCCGAACAGCCCAAGCCTGCAGTGTGTGCTGAAAACTGTCACCAAACTCGCCCTGATGGCAAATGTTCTGGCCATATGGGGGGGTCCTCATCACCTTATGGGGGGTCTTAGAGAATGTGGCCATGCATAAAGTTAAGTGTGCTGATTTAACCATTGAATGTATGGGATGTCTTCCCTGTTTATCACCAAATAAATCTCACACTTTGGTAAGACTTCTTTCTTTGTTTCTGTGGAAAAACAAAGAAAATTGCTTGATTGTAGAGTTGGTGTTTTTGGTATGCCAGTGTTCATTTGGCTGTTCTCACATAATGGTTCATTGGCATTAGTGCTTTAGGAAAGTAAAAAATCACCTCACCAAGACCCAAACACGTGCAAGAGGTCTTGTAACGAAAGACCTCTGTTTTCATCTTCACACAAAATGGGCCCCTCTCATTAATGGAGTTAAGCACTTGAGTTACATTAAATCTTTGTTAAATTCATACATATTTTTAACTTCTGGACAATCTCACAGCAATTCGTAACTATTTTACGTTTTGCTTAAAGGTAGGGTAGGCAATTGCGGAGAGGCTAGCAATGGCAGGCTAGCTTTGAAAGCGTGAGATCCCACCCCCTCTTCAGAGTGTTTCCAAAGCCACACCTCCTTCAAAACACATGAACTCACACAGCAGAGTCTGCAAAGCGCCACGAGATGAGAGTTCTAAACCAGTTCTAACGCAATGGCAAAAGTTCGAGCAAAGCACTCAAACCGTTCTGTCGTTGGCTGCACAGAGCACTATTTGACCAAAAAATGTCACAGCTGTCTTATAAAGAGCTCGGGGAACTGTCAACTTGTGTAAAAGTTAAACATGACGGCACATGCAAGTTGATGAGGTGAATCAATATAACTCCACAACAACTACATAACTGTATCCACTAACCATTCAGAAATGTCCAGGTTAAGTCTAAAAGTTGCAACCTCTTCCTGAGTCTCTCCGTAAGGCTGCCCTCCGCTACTTATTTCTGAAATTTGTCTGAAATTCGCGTGTTTTGTTATTGACGGAGTATCCGAAGCTGGGGAGCAGCAGCTCATTTGCATTTAAATGGACACACACACAAAAATGGTGCGTTTTTGCTCACACCCAAAAAGGGGCAACTTTGACAAGCTATAATAAATAATCTGGGTTGTATTTTGAGCTGTAATTTCACAGACACATTCTGAGGACACCATAGATATTACATCTTGTGAAAAGGGGCAAAATATGTCACCTTTAATTTACCTCATGTCTCAAAGCACATAACATGTAAGCAATAAGGTACGAGAGGCTGTGCTGTATCGTAAATAAGTCACGGCTAAAGGCAAGGGCGTAGATTTGGTTTGAACATTGGGGGGGTTAAAGTTTGGGTATGCCTCCTGATATTGTGATCATGGTATAAATAATGGGGGGGTTGTAATGCATAGATTTAAATATTGGGGGGGTTATATCCCCCCCATCCCCCCCACAAATTACGCCCCTGGCTAAAGGGTGTTGTTAGGCGCGAAGCGGAGTTACCACACGATGCAACAATTAAAGCCAAAAAAATATGTATCAATGCAACTTTCATGAAGTAAAATCACAAAGGCTTCCTTCAGCTGGAAAAAATAGTCCCTGAACAGCAACAGAAGTTACATTATTTCACCATTAGATGGTGGCAAAGACTGTCTTTATGAGTGAGTCAGTCAGTAGAGAAGACTTTTATATTGAAAGGACTGAAACTTGTGAACACGGAGAAGCAAGATGCAACTGGAAATTGACTAGTGTGTCAGGGCACTGGAAAACCCATTAACTGTTAAAAGGACAAGATATCGCAGTGGACATTCAAACGGATTTTTTTTTATTACGGTTAAAACTTGTGCTAGCCTACTACTCCGACTGGTACCACTTGATCGCTGTACCACCTGACCACTGCAGATTCTTTTGGCAAACGCTCAATCATCTCCTAATTACTTTAATTATTACGACATCCAATCCTAATCAAACACCTGAACAAGCTAATCAAGGTCTTCGAGATTAGGCTACTAGAAAGCTGCAGGCAGGTGAGAATCATCAGGGTTGGAGTTACCTAGACCTCCTTGGATCTTTAAAAACGCGTTTTTTTCAAGAAGATCTTTAAAACCCCACTTTTTTTTTACAGCGTTTGTTGTGGGATTCAGCAGATATTTTGATGCAGCGGCACGGTTTTTCATTGTAGTTTGTGTTTCTCCCTGCCTGCCCCTCCTGACTCACTAATTCAGCCCATCTTCTAGCAGAGTTGATTGTGAGATCGCAGGTCGTGAGGATGACAGCTCGAATGTACTGCTCATTTAGTGCTGTTTTATTGTGTCTGTCTGCATGTTTGAGCACAACAGACGCTGGAGTCGTAGGTGAGAAGATCTTTTAGTTTATTACACAGCCCGAAGAACGTGCCTTACAAAATATGACTTGGACCCATCTCAGCACATTGGTTTACAAAAGTACAGTACAGACGTCCAGTGGAAGTTTAACTTTGTACGGTGGTTTAGTTTCAATAATAAGCAAGGTATAAATATGCAAAACTGTCATAAGTTTATGCATATTTATTTCATTGTACAAGTAAAACCCATCCAATCTCTAATGTATAGTATTTTTGTTTGCTGTAAATCAAGAACATGCTATATGCTTACGCAGTTGTTACCACATAGACATCAATCCTGAATTTAAACTTCTGCTTCATGTATTGTTTTCCCTATTTTAACAACTATTTATGCCTTCAATAGCCTATAACACGGGGAGCTATAACTTTTGTGTTGTGTAGCCTATTAAAATGCTTGGAATGAGGGATGGCATAACAATTTTTGAAGTACACTTAGTTACAACAACCTATTTACTGATGTGCATCATGTTTTCTATCAGCATTGTACTATTACTCGCCCTACTATAGGTTGTAACGGCACTCTCAGTCTTTGAAACTAATTGACGCAGTTTAGTGATAAATGGTAGATGTCTAAGCTACTTTGATTTGAAGCTGATAAATGTGAATATTATTAAAGTTTGAGGCACATATTGCAAAACCCCTGTTCTGCAAATGCTGAAACAAGCTATTAAAGCACTTCCTGGTCTTTCCTAACTATCCTCTTGAATCCTCTTCTGTAGTGTCCGGTCAGTGTCCGGCGAAGCTGACCGTCGTGCCGTCCCATCCTCGGAAGCCTGCGTCCGAACAGCCCAAGCCTCCAGTGAAGCCTGCGTCCGAACAGCCCAAGCCTCCAGTGAAGCCGGCTTCCGAACAGCCCAAGCCTCCAGTGAAGCCTGCGTCCGAACAGCCCAAGCCTCCAGTGAAGCCTGCGTCCGAACAGCCCAAGCCTCCAGTGAAGCCGGCGTCCGAGCAGCCCAAGCCTCCAGTGAAGCCGGCGTCCGAGCAGCCCAAGCCTCCAGTGAAGCCGGCGTCCGAGCAGCCCAAGCCTCCAGTGAAGCCGGCGTCCGAACAGCCCAAGCCTGCAGTGTGTGCTGAAAACTGTCACCAAACTCGCCCTGATGGCAAATGTTCTGGCCATATGGGGGGGTCCTCATCACCTTATGGGGGGTCTTAGAGAATGTGGCCATGCATAAAGTTAAGTGTGCTGATTTAACCATTGAATGTATGGGATGTCTTCCCTGTTTATCACCAAATAAATCTCACACTTTGGTAAGACTTCTTTCTTTGTTTCTGTGGAAAAACAAAGAAAATTGCTTGATTGTAGAGTTGGTGTTTTTGGTATGCCAGTGTTCATTTGGCTGTTCTCACATAATTGTTCATTGGCATTAGTGCTTTAGGAAAGTAAAAAATCACCTCACCAAGACCCAAACACGTGCAAGAGGTC